GAAGTATTTGATCAAATAAAGACCCCAAGTATTTTAGTAACACCTATTTGCTGTGAGTTGATCCAGGTTTATATGAAATTCATAATCCCATTGCTCTTCTTTCTTTCTTTCTCCTGAGATTCTTTATTTAAAACACTGATGAATCTAGGGAGCTCAGTCTGAGAGAATAAACATTTCATGATATATTCAACCCCCCATTTTTATTTTAGATTAGATCTTCCCATCTAATGCATTGTTTCTTTTGCACTTCTATGTACAGCTAGGTTATCAAATTATGTACATTAAATGCTAATTAATCAGAAGCAAGTAAGGCAGTTTGTTGCCCAAAGGAAACTCCAATATTTGGAGTGTAAGTATTAAAAAGGATGGAGTATCTCTGGCATCCAGAGGCAGTAAAAGTTTAATTTCCAGCAGGATTGTCCCTAGACATCATGGTTGACTGATGAAAAATGATAGAAATTGAAGATCATCACACAGGTTCCACCGCTTAAAGGAAATCTAGGTGTCTCTTTTAAGATTAGACTTGGCAAGTCCAATCTTGCCTCTGGAATTCCTTTCTAGAGAATTTCCAAAGCCTAGAACTAAATGATTTCCAATTAAGTCTATTTTCATTTGAAATGGCTTTGGATGGTCAAGCATAAGGGAAGATTAGACATCAGTTAACATTATTATATGAGTGTATGTGCATTTATGGCCCATTTCTCTGCTGACCTTGGGATTCAAGTAATCAGATGGCCCACTGGTATACAAACATCTCTGAGGAAATCAAAATACCATACAGATGATGAAGGAAGCTTTCAGTAATTTTAGCTGATAATTTATTATCTGCACTCTTAGAAAACATCTACTTGGAGTCTTCACATAGTGATTTCATACTATGTACTCTGTTTAGCAGCTGACCCAATTATTTCCAGCTCAACTATGTTTTATTTGCAACTGCAATGAAAGTAATATTTTGCTTGAAATACTGCAACTCTTGGAGTTTTCCTCATTTCTCAGAACTCTGGCTTCACCACACCTTCAAATTCCCAGCCTTAGCTGTCCTTCCGCGCCTCTCAAGGGGAAATGTGGCTTAATGGCTTTAAAGCTTTCTCTTGTAGGAAACATTTAGATCTTTTTGCAAATAATCACACATATGCCCATAACAGGAAGGAAGAAGGGAGGGAATGGTATGGTATGGGTGCAGGATTTTTCCTTTTGTGTGGAGTGGAAGTGATGAGATTTTTGTTATTTTAAAATGAGATGATAACACAGGATGGAGCCGTGATTAAATGATTACTTGCTCTTTATTCCCAGAGTTCTGAGACCATAGAAATGGTAACAATCACAGCACTACTTCTGGAAAAAGAAAACTGGGATTGTATGGAAGGGCCACCTTAAGCAGGAGAACAGCAGAATGTTTAGTTACCCATTAATACTGAAATAGTGAATACTAACCTGCCTTTAAAAAGTGCAGGGAGACCACAAAGAACAAGTCTTTGAAATTTAATTTTGAACATGTTTTATAATGACTGTGTATAGTGCTTCGGGGGTGTATGATCAATAGAGCAGTTTGAGAAAGCTCAGGATCTAGATGATCATCAGAGCTGTGCAAAGCATCCAGAAGAAGGGAATGTGAATGAAGTATCCTTTTTGAATCATTAAAGCAACCGTGGTCTTTTGCAGCCTCATGTGGCTGTTTCAGAAGCTGTTTCTATTGTCTCTGCATGTTTGAGCCTTGTTGCTCTAACAGTGTGAAGAAAGGTGCTTCATTTGCACTCTCACATGTTATAAAAGCACTTCTTTTGAATGTTTTGCACACTCATAATAAGGATATTCAGGGACATGATTACTCAGATCTATAAAGAGAAAGTTTAGATCAGAGATGCATAATCTGGAGAAGCATCAGGGTCACATGCTCCCCTCCCCTCCCCTCCCCTCCCCTCCCCTCCCCTCCCCTCCCCTCCCCTCCCCTCCCCTCCCCTCCCCTCCCCTCCCCTCCCCTCCCCTCCCCTCCCCTCCCCTCCCCTCCCCTCCCCTCCCCTCCCCTCCCCTCCCCTCCCCTCCCCTCCCCTCCCCTCCCCTCCCCTCCCCTCCCCTCCCCTCCCCTCCCCTCCCCTCCCCTCCCCTCCCCTCCCCTCCCCTCCCCAAAAGAGCGGACTGTTGTCCCCAGAGACTTTCAAAAGGTATTACTAAACTGTAATAGTGAAAATAATTCAGTACATCACTGGAGAGTGATATATTACCTATACTGAATTTTAGTTAAATGTAAAATAAATCAAATCCTGGCTTCAATCAATACTTTTTGGAATGTGTCTCCCTAAAACATTCAGAGCAAGTTGTACATCCCTGGTTTAGAAGGCTCCATCACAGGAGAAGTCAAGGTGAGGGCAGAAAATGTTTCCAGGCATGAAGACCAGCTAGAGAGATTATCAAGGCATACTAAGTAATCTTGCTGAAGCTTGAAATTACAATTCATGTTTAGTAGATTCATAATGTACAATATATATTTTTTTGAACCTACACAGTCTACATGATGGCAGCCAAACTTTGCAGTTACTCAGGGGTAGGTAACTCAATTCTCCAAAAATCTCCACCCAGCCTGGCAAGCCAAGTAGGTGATGTTAATTATAGCACTGCACTTCTTAGCAGTATTGCATTTCATCTCCTTGTATAATTACCTTCCACCTAATGGGCAATATAATTATACAAGGAGATGAAAGTTAGAAGAGAGCATGAGAAAATACAGCATGCAGTCATATTAAAATGTAATCTGGATTCCTGGATACCAGGGGCTGCCATTAGGAAGTATCTGTGTGTGAAAAGCAAATGCCTTGCACTATAGCCAACATTTTCTGCTGCACTTATTTGTGTATTTTTATATTATATAATCCTTACCAACACCTGGCAGTTTATATCAGTTAAAACATAATACAGACATTAAAATAATATCACAGATTATAAGTGCAAAGATGCAACAAGTGCAAATAAGTGCAATAGTGCCGTTCCCCAATCTTCAGATGCCCTCAGCAGTTTCTGGAAGGCCAGTAGTAAGGGTGCTAGCCCAACTTCAAGAGGGAGGCCTTTCCAAAGTAAGGGACATGCAACTGAAGATAATTGTCTGTGGCCTCCACCACCTTCACCCCAAGGGACCTGAGGTTCATCAAAAGATTTTGATATGGTGGACCTACCAGGTGGATCAGACTGGTCATTTCTATATGGAAATTGGGCCTGTAGGTATCCAGTCCCCAGGCCATGTGAGGCTTGTTAAGTTTAAACCAGCACCTTGAATTGCACTTGGGAACCTATTGGTGACTGATGGAGCAACCACAAAGTAAATGTCATGTGACATGGTGACTGATTTGCCAATATGCCACCTGCTGCATTTTGAACCAGCTGGAATTTCAGGATGGACTTCAAAGTAGCCCCATGTAGTTGGATCCACTAATATAACTGGGTGGTAATTATGCGTGGGTCACTATTGCCAACTTTCTCATTCCAGGAAGATCCCCAACTGATGCATTGGCCAAAGCCTGGCGAAGGATGCCTGGGCATGGCCTCCACCAGCCTATCTAGCACTCACTGTGAGTCCAAGAGGGCTTCCAAGAGCACAGTCCTGCCCTTGGCCTATTACTTTGCCTGCTCTTTGCCTAAGAAACTGCAAATCTGAGGTCACTTCCTTTTGCCTTTCTTCCCAGGCTCACATGCACAGAGCACATGCACTTTGACTCTTCTGGTAGGATGTAATCAGCTATCTGCTAAGCTTTGCCAACTGTATAGTGTATTACCCATAACTAAACCTCCTTTTTGTTATAGGTATAAAATCTGTTCCACTAATCATTGCTCTGGTGAAATTCCCACTCTCAGGAACACTCACATGCACACAGAACATTTCAGCTCCAATGCCTGCTGCACTCAGGCTCAGCTTCTGCCCCTTTTGTTCCATCCAAACACAAATCATTCACTCCTACACCAACACTGTAACAATGCTTGCCAAAACATAAGCATGAAAAACCAGTGTCGGTAATTGGAAGATTTGACAAGCTAATGAATATGAAAGTACATTCAGAAAGCATTCTGTTTGTTCTCTGTGCTTCTGCACTCATTTCTACTGGATGGCTGGATGGACGCAGGCTGACATAAATAGCATGGAACTGTGAGTATCAGGACAGCGTGGGCGCCACAGTTGTGCCTGCCTGCCTGCATACCAAATGGCATGGCAGAGTCAGCTGGGAGGCTCATGGGAGCGCAATGCTGATCACCACCATTGGGGTGGGATGGGAACATTTACTAGTTTAATCATTTGCGTTATATCATTAGTTTCCTAGTTTTGAAAAAGGAAAAATCAAAGCCTGTTAATTGCTTGCATTTTCTGTGTTCTTTTGGTTTAATTGGGGGAGAAAATCATGCTTTTTTAATAGCCTTTAGCATGGAGGCCAGGGACTTCCTGAATCCCTTACAATATGGCACAATAGGCCATGTGGCTCTACTTCCCAATTCTATACAGCTGTAAAATGGGGTGGGATGGGGCAATCCCATCTTTCTTTTGTTGCTGCCATACCCAAAGCTGATGATGGTGGCACTGCTTCCTGCCATTTTGAAGTGAAAAACATTTAAAAGCTAAACACTCTAAAATAGGTTTAACACAGATAGAAGAAGAAACCAAAATTCCCACCAAAAGGCTTTCTACTCCTGAAAAAAAATAGTTATTTTGCATCATCACCCCTCCAGCTATTCAAAATAGTTCAAAATGTTGCCCATCTCCTCTATAAAATGTTTAGATCCTGAGCTGAAAAACCTGGAACACTATAGCAGGGAAAAATTCAGATAGTCTGCTCTAAAGCCTGAATAAGGTTCCATAACATTTGGAACCCTGTTCAGGAACAGTTCTTTTAGAAAATGAGGATACACTGCAGCATTTTGTGATAGCTCTCATTATTTTAGTATGTTTGTAAATTTGAACAACCATTTGTTTTAACTTTGCAGGTATAAAATTATTTTTATTTATTCAACATGCCTTTTTAAAAATGAGGAACATAAATATCACCAACTTCGTGTCTCTTAGAACCTATTTCTCTCCAACTCTCAATTTCTAGGAAAAAGCCCATCTAGACTCCCAACTTTGAAAATAAGCCCATCTGTAGGATGTTAATAAAACAAACAAATGCTAACAAGCACAGAAATACATAGAGACAGAAGTTTCAAAGAAAAATAATCAAATCCGTCGATAACGATCTGCCTCTGGACTTCCTTCTTTCATGAGATAGCCTGGCTGATACATGAGATCCACAATAAATACTTGAGGGGGAAGCAGAAGTCCAGGTATTCCCAAAGGAGAATCATCAACCAATTTCACCTCATTCCATCCTCTATTATATTCGCCACGGTACAGGTTGCAATCAACAGCAATTCTGTCTCCCAGAACCTATGGAAGGAAACAGTGAGAATGCACTTTAGTTTTGTTACATTTGTGATCTGCTATTCTGCCAGTCCTACCAGATATATGTGCAAAAATCTGAAGGGCCACTAAAGGGCAGTGAAGAGCACACATTTTCTATATCATTTTGCTGCCATCTAGAGGTCCTCAAGATTGTTGCAGCCCTAAATTTCATGTTGCAATCAAGGAGACTCATAGTTTAAAATAGTGCTTTATAATTTAGTATGCTAATGATTGAAAGAGGAAGTATATAGAAGGAAGAGGAAAACAAGCCAATTGATTACTATTTAATGAAAAAATATTGGGGTCAGTAAGGAGCCAAACGGCAGTTGGTTTCAGTCAGTCCATGGAGAGGTCTCCTATTCTGATCCCTCCTTCTAAGAATTCACCGGAAGAATGGCTGCAGATGGAAAGATTGTTCAGTTTATTTTCCCTGCCAAACACAACTGCCTTGGTCTTTGACACATTACTTTTCAGATCATACTCCTCACTGTATCATACAGTGATTCATAGTGAAAATCATTTGGATTCTTGGCCAACAACATGGCATCATCTGCATATAAAAGTACATGTATGTTCAAGTCTCCAGAACTTCTCTAATACAGTTAAGTATTCCTTATACATTTATCCATAAATACAAGAGCTGAATCAAAGTAATGACTCCAGTGTTACAAGTTGCCAACAGATGGCAGTACTGATGCACTAGAAGTTCTGACAGGTTCTTACCATCTCTTCTTTTACTTCAGCAGGAAGTTGCCGTGAGAAAAGTTTGTGTTGCTCTTGCCTTACTATTTTTCAGGATTCTCATAGCATTACTTTTCATCAAACATGTATAGCATTTGTTCAGTTCCATTCTTTGACATATCAATATCATTATCAATCTAACTATCACGTCTTAGTCTGTAGATTGGGTCAGTATTGTTATCTCCATATTAGAGAAAAGAAAAAGAGACTAAGAAAGTATGTCTAGTCTTCTCATGAATTTTTCCTGTTATAAAATGTGCTCCTTGGTTTAAGTCACAACAGTGCTCGACTTTTCATTCATAGTAATTTTTCTATTTATTTTCAGTGTTGCATTGTATTCGCTTTGCCTACATATGCCTGCTAAAAATTTGAAATGGAGCTTATAGAGCAGAGTACAGAACTAAAATGCATGTTTTTAGTTGACAATCAATACCAAATATGCACAAAAATATTGTACACAAGGAAAATTTGAATACTACAGTGGCAAGTTTATACGGAATCCGATGGGACATTAGCATATGCTGCATATTCATTAAAATTAAAAGTATGCAGTAACAACAGCACATTTGATTAGCTACATAGCTAATTTGTTTTACCTTGAAAAGCAAAGCCCTGTGGTAGAAGGTCCCTTTGCTGATCTTTCCAATAGGCACTACATTGCATTTAAGCTCAAATTCAATTTCACTTATATGAAGCTCCCAGCTGAATTCATGTAGCTTGTCTCTTTCAATGGGACCGCCCAATTTATCTGCAACAAACCTGTATTCAAACCAAACAATGTAAATTAAACCCACTCTTGTCATACTATTTAACTGAACTAAGCAATAATTCTGCTTCTTCACAAATATTTGCATAAAGTTTATGGTAGATTCTTTCATGAAGTCATGATTTATTTGTAGGTCCCTGGGGGCAACTATTTGATGGCAACAGATTCTAGGATTACATAGATCTCAATCTGATCTAGCAAGACAATTTGACGTTCTAAGGGATTCCATCCTTTGGGAATGTGGGTTTGGCATCCACACCGTCAAGTTTAAATGAGAGAGAAAAAATATTTGTTAACTGGGCTATAGCCCTGGGATCTTACACTTGTAAATAAGATAGATCTGTATGGTGTATTTTGTTTTAGTTTACAGCTTGATATTTTAACTATAATGTAGCAATACCGTAATTATAGAGTTTTATTTTATTATGTGCACTGCTCTGGGCTACTATGGGAGAAAAGGCGGCATATAAATAATATAAATAAATATATAACTCAGTAATCCAGCAAACTGGGGATGGTTATATAATAATAACCCTGCAAACTGCCATCCTGCTAGCTGGAAGAGCTTACTTCAGCAACCCTCCCAGATGTTCCTAGATGTGGGGAATGTAGCAAACAATGTTTTTTGCTTAATGTATCTTTCCCTGCCATTTTAAACAACATGAAACAACAGTAGTCAGGGCCCAGTAAGCCACTGCATTTAATTCCAAGGGCTCTCACAGAACTAAACCATGGCCTGGCATACATTTAGTCCAAAACATGATGGCAACTGTTGGTGGCCAGGAGCTATTAAATTGATGGGGCAAGAGCTGCAATGATAGGGAGATGATGCAAGTGGCTGGGCCATATTATACATCTGGAGTAACTGAGATTTTCCATTTTTCCCTTGGTTTATTTGGATTTTTTTTAGGGGATCATTCTTTAGCTGTGTTAGGCCTCTTTTAGAACTTATACTACATTTCTAAATTTCCCATGTGTCAATGGCTGATAAAGAGGGTTGCAATGTTGCAAAAGGAACATTTAAATTCCCTTTTAAATTACAGAACAGGTTACCCATTGCTGTTCTGTATAAATTGTTGGGGAAGGGGGAATTGCCTGTCTCCACTGGAAAACACATATTATGCACAACTTGAAAGGACAAAGAAAATGGGTTTGCAAGAAAAGGTTGTAAAAAAAAATCCCTCTTTCCTTTCACTAGTAAACTCTGGGGGGTTGTGGGGGGTGAATACCTCTACTTTTAACCTGCCTCCTTGAAAAAAAATCAATCACTTTTTACCACCTGAAATTACTTCCTCTCAAAATTAAAGAAGTTCTGAACACAACTTTGGAACAATGCTCTTATTATTTGTCTTTCCAGATTGTAACAGACTGAAAGGACAAGATTAATAACAAACGGAAGGTGTGAGACTTTAATTGTTTGCATGCTACCTAAGATAAAGAATGTTCTAGTGTTCTAATCTGTTATGTATAAAATTTCGGGACCTATTCCTAAGGAGGTAAGCAGGGCTTGTGATGCCTTCATTTTAATATTACACTTTTATTCTTCTTAAAGATGTCAGACTTGCTAACATAATTTCCTCTCTTATTTTAAATCTAACAATCCTGTGAGCTTGACCAGGGTTGAAAGAATGATTTCCTCAAAGCCATCCAGTAATTTTAATGAGCTAAATTAAGTAAAAAACAAAACAAAAAAACACTATTAATCTAGTGCTTCCAAGCACAGATCCCAGATTTTGTTACAAATCACAACTTCTGTCATCTCCATCCAACAAGATTAAGGGTTGGGGGCATTAGGAACTAAATACTACCACCCAGCAGCCTAAGAATAGGAAGCGTTACTTTATGCTCGTCACTATATTTCACTGGCTCTCAGTTCAGTTTGGCTACTTTCTCACCATTCTCAGCTTGATTGTCTTAAGAAGGAGGCAAGAGGACTAGACAATTTAAACATGTACTTTTTGTGTCAGCTGCGCCAATGCAGCCACACAGAAGCCGCTTCCGTGCTATTCTTGGATCCTCAGTACACAAGGTCACAATATTCTGTCTGGCAAATAAAAATACATTACATTCATCATAGCGTATTATTATTGTTATTGTTCTAGGAGTATGCTGAAGATTTGGTGATAGATGAAAATATTGTCTGTCTGACAGTGTCAGGCCTAGCCCAAGGAACTCCAAGAGACAATCCCAATTCAGTCCAGCTATGTTTA